CGCCCCCGCCCGGGCATCGCCGCGCGTCTCCGAGCCCCGCGGACCGGAGCCCCATGGCTGCGCCTCGCTCCGCGCCCCCGCGCCGCCCGCCCGCTCCGCGCCGGCCGCTGCCGCTGCCGCTGCCGCTGCTGCTGCTGCTGCTGCTGCTGCCGCTGCCCGCGCCAAGCCGGGGTGAGCCGGGGCTCGGGAGTCGGAGGGAAGGCGCGGACCTGCGCCCGGGCGCGCGCGGGAGGGACCCGGCGGGACGGCGCGCTGGGGCGCGGGCAGAGCCGCTCCGTCGGGGCTGCCTGGGCTGTGAGGGACCGGGGCGGGCAGCACCCCGGGAGGGCCGGGGCTCGGGCAGGACCCCGACTCCGGAGCGCCGCAAAGCGGGAGCCGGGGAGGCAGGCTGGCCTTGGGCGCCGCAGGAAACAAGCCCGAGGAGAAAGAGCCGACGAGTCCCAACCCAGGAGGGCGAGCCCGGTGCGCAGAGCCCGCTAGGGGTCCCGAGGAACCCGGGCCCGAGATGGGGCGCGTGGGCCGAGAGGGCATCCCCCGGGGCTTAGAGCTGGGACTGAGTTCCGGGGTATCCGGGGGTGTGTGAGGAGGAGGAAGGAGGGATTCCCGGGGGCGGAGAGGAGCCGGGAGAGCCGGGCGGAGGTGCCGCCAGGGCTCCGCCGAGCCGCCAGGGCGCCGCCCTTCCCCGGGGGAGCTCTCCGGGAGGGTCTGCCCTGGGCTCGCCGGGCACCGGCCGCTTCCGCCGAGGCTGCAAAAGATTCACCTCACCCAAGGAGGGCGTGAATCGAGGCCCTCCTCCCCCTCAGGTCCTCCGCGGACACACGTTTGAACTCTTCTCTTCCCTTTCCATCCCTACCAAAAAGCCAAATATCGCCTCTGCACCCGGGGGAAACTTCATCTCCTGTGGCTGCCACGGGCTTGGACTGGGGGCAGAGGCGGCTCAGACAGACTGTGTGGAGGGTGCGAGGGATCTGAAAGTGTGAGCCTCAGACGTCGTAAACTAGAGCGGAGGCGGTGCGCGCCCCGACCAGGTCTCTCCCAGCGGGGAAGGGCCGGGGTCTGCGAGGGAGGAGCCGGGTCCGGGACCCTAGTTCCCTGGAAATGTGAGCAGGGGGCCGTGTGCCCGCCCTGTGAGACTAAGAGGGCTCGTTCCTCTTGGAGTGAAGTCAGAACTGCTGTGGTAAACTGCTTGCTGGAGAGACTTGCTGTCACCTCTGGGCTACGAGTCGCTGTTCCTTCTGCCCGGGCGACACCATCCCTCGTCCGCTCGCTCGTTTTTTATCCTGATGTTAACTGGGAGTGAAGATTCTAGGCGCGCGCGCGCACACGCACACACACGCGCGCGCGCGCGCTTCCTGATAAATTTAGGAAATGTAAATTGGTGTTTACTATTCCCCAACGCTCCTTATAACAAAGGCCAAAGGCCCAGCACCCAGAGTATGGGGAAAGGGACAGACCACGCGCAGCCTGTACCCTGAGTTCTGGGCCCATACCTGCTGCTCCTGACCAGGCATTGGTCCAAGACTCTTGATAGTTTTGCCAGCAAATGGAAACCTGATTTATTACTATCTCACTCCACTTTTTAGGGTCTTGTGTTTTGGTTTGTTTTCTCGAGACAGGGTTTCTTTGTGTAGCCCTGGTTGTCCTGGGATTCGCTCTGTAGACCAGGCTGGCCTGGGACTCAGAGAGCCACCTGCCTCTGTCTTCTCGAGTGCTGGGATTAAAGGCGTGCACCACCGCACAAGGCTTAATTCTTTTTTAAATTCACAGTGAGGCAGCATCTTTATCTCCCTTGTTTGTGAACAGCCAAAATGTCTCCTGGCTTAATTCTTGAGCCTCACACCTTCACCTCACCAGTGCTATCACAGGCAGCTATGTTGGGTTTCGGCGCTGGGGACTGGAACCAGGATTTTATGCATGCCACCTAACATCTCCAGGCAGACAGCTACATCCCGGCCCTCCACATTGCTTTAGCGATTTTTATTTTCCTCAGTGCCCTCTTGTTAATCATGTCAAACACGCCCACGACACAAGCCTCATTGCTTTTCCTTGATTTAAATAGCTGATGAGGAGAAGCTAGAATACACTCCTGAAAGCCTGTGAGGCTTCCGTGCCTGTGCAGCGTGACTACAAAAGTGGCAGCAGGGTGTTGGCATCAACCTTGCTTTTCATACTTTAGTTGTTGTTTTTAGTTCATTTTATTATGTGTGTGGGTGCATCTTGGTGCCTGGTTCCCATGGAGGCCAGTAGAGGGCAGCAGATCCGCAGCAACAGATGGTTGCTATGTCCCTATGTGGGTACTTGAAGTTGAACCTGAGTCCTCTGGAACAGCAGCCAGTGTTTTTAAGCACTGAGCCATCTCTCCAGCCCTCCAAGACTCAGATTTGCAGTGGCCGATTCTGTTGTCCCCGACAAGTCACCTAACATCTCCACGTTTCAGTTTATCTGTGAAAGAGGGAGTGACACAAATGGCATTCACTCCTCTGCAGTGGTTGGATTTGAGGAACATACTGACCAGGATGGCATTTGGTAGTAAATAGAAGTTCTGTGTCTAAGAGGGATCTCTATGAAGCTGACAGATACAGCTCAGGGATGTGGTACACAGAACCATGGAGCTTGAGATCTCTGTGTATGGAATTCTTCCTGGGTGTATGTACATTCCACGCTAACATCTCCTTTCCTCCAATTTCCCTGATTCAGGTCTGGGCCACCCTGCCGAACTGGCATTTGCTGTGGAGCCAAATGATGATATTGCAGTCCCTGGACAGCCCATGGTGCTGGGCTGCAGAGTGGAGGGTTCCCCTCCGGTGCAGGTCTCCTGGAGGAAGAACGGAGCAGAGCTGCCTGAGGGCGCCCGCTCCACCCTCATGGCCAACGGCTCCTTGCTGATCCACCACTTCCGGCTGCAGGAAGGAGGTGGCCCTTCAGATGAGGGTGACTATGAATGCGTCGCTCAGAACCGCTTTGGGCTGCTGGTCAGTCGGAAGGCTCGTATCCAGGCTGCAAGTAAGTAAGTTTCCTTTCCCCCTTTGTATAAAGCAGGCTGGTGGCCAGGGTCAGGCTACATCCTGAGGACAGGGCAGGAGGCCCAGTTTCGTGGAACTCGAAAGAGCCACCTTTTAGCGTGGGTCACTTGACAGGCGGCGCAGTGGTGACTTCGGATGGGGCACTTAGGTCATGTGCCCTTTTTACTGAGTGGGGTGTGAACTGATAAGAATGTAGCCAAAGACTCGCAGGCTGGGGGCGGGGCCTCCTCATGTCTTTGCTCAGCCTGGCAAGTTTTCATGGGTACGTCTCTCCACGAGCGTCCTGGTGCATTGAGTATAGTTCTGGTGTTTAAACGTAGAAAGATTTGCCTTCCTTAGATTTCCGAAGGGTCATTTTAATGACACAAAAAAAATGTTAATTTATAGGTTAACTTTGAAACATTTTGAGTAGGATAAGACTTCACTACGACAGTATTGGAGCCTCAAACCGGTCAACAATTTAAAAAAATAAAAACCAAAGACGACAACAACGCACAGTAGGTGGTGCTGGGGAAGCAGCCTGTTTGGCAAGTACTTGCTGCCCAGGCAGGAGGAGCTGACTTTGATCCCAGCACCCTGTGAAAAGCCTGCAATCTAGTAATGGGGAAAGGGAGACAGGATTCCTGAAGCTCACTATCCAGGCAGCCCAGCTGAAATGTCAAGCCTGAGGGGCCAATGAGAGACCACAGTGTTGTTGAGTGAGACACTTGCAGTTGGCCTTTGGCCTCTGAGTGCGTGCACGCATGCATCCCCCCCTCCCCCCGAGCATGCACACATATAACAGACAAACAAATAAATAAATAGATGTTAAAAAGAAAAGAAATTAGGGCTGGAGAGTTAAGCAGTTAAGAGCACTGGCTGCTCTTCCAGAGGTCCTGAGTTCGATTCCCAGCACCCACATGGTGGCTCACAACCATCTGTAATGGAATCTGTAATGGAATCTGATTCCCTCTTCTGGTGTGCATGAAAACAGAGTTCATATACATAAAATAAATAAATCTTTTTTTTTTTTTTAAGAAATTTATTGGAGGAAGAGGAAGAAAAAAGAAAGAAACTAGAAACAAGGAAAGAAGGAAGGAAGGAAGAAGGAGGAAAGAAAAGGAAGGACACTGTTCTTGAGAAATGTCAGGAGTTGAGACCAGAGAACAGTGCTCTCCATCCTAAATCTCTGTACTTCAGGGAGGCAGCTGTCCTTTAAAAGGCCGCTTTGGCTTTGGTAATAATGCTAGGCAGCATTTATTTAGCACCTGCTGCATGCTGGGCTTTATGTGACTTATTTCACTGAATCTTCACAATGACTGAGGAGACACTAACATTCTCCTTTTAGAGATGGGCTGGGGGAGGGTGGGCTTCAGTGCTAACATTGTCTCTCGGAGGCGGGAAAGCCAGACTGCAACCTGGGCATCCTGAACGCCATACCCTCCCGCTTAACTCTTGTGACACCTCTTTCCTGAGAAAACTGGCAACTTTGAACAGGCTGGTGAGCAATGAATTGTTCCAGGCGGGAGCCTTTAGCTAGGCTGAGGATGCTCCCTTTGTTCTGAGGAAGGCCTATCCAGGCCCCCATGTGGAGCTTGCTAGGGAACATCCCTGGACTTGGAGATGGGAGTCTCTTCTAGCTCAGCCACCCTGGCCCTGGCCCTCTCCACCAGGCAAGGAAGCCTGTATAGCCTCTGAGCAGATGGCCAGGCATATTGGTGGAGGGTGGGAAACAGGAAGACCTGGAGTTTGGGGGTGGGCGGAATGAGACTTCCCAGGAAAATGCTGCCTACCGCACCCTGCCCTGTTTTATTCCATTCTTTATTTGTTTGTTTGTTTGTTTTTGTGAGTACAGTAAACTTTATTGATGGTATTCCAGAAAGTATGGCTCCCTAAGCCCCCTTCCTCTTCCGTGGGTCTAGAATGGAAACTTAGAAAAGATGCTCAGTTTTGAGGGGCTGAGTTGGGATGGGGACTCCGAAGCAGCCAAGGGCCTCTCTCTCTCTGTTTTTGCAGGGATGTGCAGTCCAAGGCTTCTTATTTCTTGGAGGTCATAGGTAGCTATGAGGTTTTCCACTCTGTTGCTGTAGCCGTATTCATATCATACCAGGACATGAGCTTCACAAAGTTGTCATTGAGAACAATGCCAGCCCCAACATCAAAGGTGAAAGAGTGGGTGGCATGGTTAAAGATTTAGCGGACAACCTGGCCCTCAGTGTAGGTCAAGATGCCCTTTTGTGGGCCCTCGGATGCCTGCTTCATCACCTTCTTGATGTCACTATACTTGGCAGCTTTCTCCGTGGGGCATGTCAGAGCCATGACAGACACACTGGGGGTAGAACATGGAAGGCCATGTCATTCGTGGCCTTAGAATCACTCCAAAGGATGCTGGGAGGTAAAGCCTCAGAAGGAGAGAAAAGAGCTGTAAGAGGGGAAAAAAGGTAGATTTCTTCTTCTTCTTCTTCTTCTTCTTCTTCTTCTTCTTCTTCTTCTTCTTCTTCTTCTTCTTCTTCTTCTGCCTCTTCCTCTTCCTCTTCCTCTTTCTCTTCTTCCTCTTTTCATATTAGGAGTCAAACCCAGGGACTTGAACGTACTAGGTTAGCATTCTCTCTCAGCCCCATTGTATGTGTTGTATGTGTGTATATGCTCATGTATGTACACATATAAGGGGATGTGAATATATGTGTGGAGGACAGCAATTGATGTCAGGTGTCCTCCTTCATCACTATTGACCTACTTTTTAAAACAGTATCTCTCATCGAACTCAGAGATCACTGATTTAGCTAGACCAGCTGTCCAGCAAGCTCCAGAGATCCTGCTGTCTCCACCATAGCCCCGATCCATCTTTTTACATTGGTTCTGGAGATTTGAACTCAGGTCCTCACCAGTGTGCAGCAAGCATTTTACTGATTAAGCCAATTCCTCAGCTACTAAATGTGTTTTTCTATATGTGGTGATAAGTTTGAGATAATTTGGTTTGAACTGTGCATGGTAGTTCACAGGTTTCAAGCAGACCTCTGTGAGTTCAAGGCCAGCCTGGTTTATATAGTGAATCTAGCCTGGTCTATATATTGAGTTCCAGGACAGCCAGGGGTAAATAGAGAGAGCCTGTCTTAAAAAAAAAAAAAAAAAAGTTTGTTTCTTTAAATTCCAGGAATGTAAGGAATTGAGCTGTGGGTAGAGTTGGTCTTGTTAATAGCTAACAGAGTTGTCTCTGAGCGTCGGTCTGATACACTCTCCCCTTCCCTCTAAGTCTGTGCCCTGTAGGGACTTGCTTTGGCCCTAAGCAACTGTAAGTGATTCCATCGTTTTACCTCAGGCTGATTTGAAGGCTAATGTCCCTGGAAAGATTCAAAGCCGATATCAGCCTGTTTCCTCCTTGGGTAGTCATCTCCTGGCCTTGCCTCCTGCCACTGCAGATGTTGTAGGAAAGGGGAAGATGGCTGAGGAAAAGGAGTGATAGCCTCCAGGCACCTGCCTCTCTGTGTGCTCCATGGAGGCTGGCTGGGTAAAAGGGACATGCTCGGCACTGCTCGCAGGCAGGTCTGCTGGGGCATCCAAGCTCTAGGCCAGAGGGCACTCGCCCACTCCAGTTGTTCCTTGAACCACCTTCTGCCCGAAGGTGGGCTGTGCCGAAGGCTGATTTAGCCTTGGGACTGCAGTCTGGGATCAGCAGCTCCGGGTTCTAAGCTCTCAAGTTCATGATCTCAAGATTCTAACTCAGACTCGATGGTGTGGAGTTCCTGTTCGCTTGGCCGAGCCTCCTGGACCGTGATGCATACATATATATCATCTTACCTTGAAGGAGAATCACAGGATCCAATGCATCCTAAGCTCTGCCTGACAAACAGGAGCGGCTCAGTAAGAAAAAATGTCAACAAAAACGCCGTGTTTGTTTAAAGTGAGCTTCAGAGGCAAAACCTTTAAATGTAATCTTGGCTGCTGCAGAGGTCATCTCTGGACAGAACTAACTGCCTGACTCCACTCCCAGCCTGGGCTTTCTCACCTGTTGGCATTCACCGCAGCGTTCGGAGAAGGCTCTAGGGAAATCTACCAGGCCATGAGACTGTAGGCTTTTCTGTCCTAGTGCTTCCCCGACCTAACCACCACAGAAACCCTGTGCTAAAACCCTGGGTGGTCCCATGCATTGGCTCCCTCTTGCTGAGTGAGATTTTTGTGCCTGATTTACTTCAAAAAAGGATGATGGGCTTAGGAGTAGAGAGATGGCTCTGTGATTAAGGGCACCTGTTGCTCTTCCAAAGAACCCAGGTTCAATTCCCAGCAACCATTTGTAACTCTAGTCCCAGAGAACTGAATGCTTTCTTTTGGCTTCCTTGGGCATGGCTGTGGTACATAGACATACATGCAGGCAACACATCCATACATATACCATAAAAGATTTAAAAGGCAGGAGTGGGTTAGTCTTAAGAGGTAGAGATAAGTATGGGATTCACTCCTAGCCCTCTGCCCTCCAGCAGATGCTCTCCATCCTGCCTCTTCATTCTTGGTCCCCATCTCCTGGGGGCACAGAAGAGAAACACCCTGTGATCAAGTGCAGGATTTCCCAGATTGAACCCATCTTGACCACCCCGAAAGGCTGGGGGCAGATCCGGATAAGACAGGACTTTGAAACTAAACATCTGGATGAGGTCCAGGCTTGCTGCATCTAACGAGAGCCTGGTAGTGTCAACACTGCTGACCCACAACATAAACTCTAGTTTGGGAAACTGCAGGTGGCCTAGTGAAGTCCATAGAACAAGGGTTCCAGGAGCAGAGGCTGAGCTTGAACCAGCTCTGCCACTCACTGCTCAGAGGTCCTGAGCAAGTGTTCCTAGCCCTCCTGAGCCACTGTAGCCCCATTTGGACAAAGGCTGTAGTCTCTGCCGTCAGCATATCCGGGCTTTGAAAACAGTCTTTGCCTTTGCGGTAGTGGAGTAAAGGGCTTGGAGCCTAGGAAAAGCATAATGAGCATCCTGGGTAAGAGTTGGTGGTATCTGCTAA